AGAGACACCAGGGACACTGGGAGACACGAGGACACTGAGACACTAGGGACACTGGCTGGGAGACATGGGGCCATTGGGATACATGGGGCCACTGTGTCCCTAGTGTCTCAGGGTCCTCATGTTCCCCAGTGTCCCTATGTCTCCCAGTGTCCCAATGTCTCAGCGTCCCCAAGTCTCTCACCGTCCCCATATCTCGCAGACTCGAAACTGCTGTCTGGACTCTCTGTGCAGAGCTGCTCCCCTGCGGATCAGTGAGTAGTGAGAGGCAGGGAGGGAGATGCTGTAACTTCTTATCCCTGCCTCTCTCCACACAAACAGCGCTGGTATTGCAGAATAATCTCTGTTTATACTGAGACAGACATTTGTATTGCCAGTATTACTGCAATACTGGCTAGGCAGCCTCAAATACCTGAGACATACTTCTGAGAAATACCTGGCAACCATAAGAAATACCTGAGAAATACCTGGCTACCCTAAGAGCAGTGTGGCCAATGGGCCTATTCCATGGGCCTGGGCCTGGAGCTGCAGCTCCATCAGCCTCTATGTTAATCCGGCCCTGTGTCTACCGTGAGGAGATCATGTAAAGTGAATTGGAATTTTGTGCATTCCAGAGTGCCTATTGGTAGTGATATAAGCCCAGTGTGGAAGGAACTCTTATGAAAAAACATGATAAGAAAATCTACTAAATAATTAGAGGGGCAAGTGGAGAATTAGAAGGCCAAGTTGTCAATGTTTATTTTGGTTAGTCATTGTTTCAGAAACAAATGGTTAGGATACATGTTCTTACCATGCGCTCTAAAACTGAAAAATATTTGTGATAGTCATAGACAGTGAAAACTACATATTTGAGCCCTAAATCCACCAATTAGTGTAGGTATAAATCAAGTTATTTTCTTTATTGTGTGAACGAGGACCAGGTAATATTTCTGTAGAGATCAAACGTCTGATCGAATTATGGTATAGATAATTTTTGTTTAAACTGGGATCTCTAGCTCTCAGTATTACTGAAAAATCCCTATAACAATAAGATTTATTTTTAATTACATTCTGTGAGGCAATCAACAAACACACAAGATTCACATCTTTCCTTTAATAACGTCTTTGTTGATGGAAGCGGGAACTAGATGTGCCGGGGTTATTACTTGGGAATATGAACTATTACTGGAGTGGCCATAGTAGGGTTAGGAAGTCCATAGTTGAAAGATTCTATTTTCATCAGTCTCTCGTTCATGGAGTAAATTTATGACAGGATAGTTTTCATCGTTGCATGCATCTCTGTAAGGCTATCTGTGTTGCCACCCTGAGAGCTGGTACTTGGCCTGGGGTTATTTGGTTTTGAGGTCATCAGCCAAGAGAGCTCTGCTTTCCTTGCTGTAGCTAGAAAAGGAATGCCCCTACGCCTTAGTTCATGACCTAAGTGAACCAGGCATAACAGGTTCTTGATTCTCGGTAGGGGTACCAGGTCTGACAGGGGTAAAAGGCCTAGTGAAGGGGCCAAGGAGAGATTAATCATCTCCTTGTTTCGAAGCATATGACATACTATAAATAATTAAAGACAGATAAGTAATGGTATTTAAAGTGAAAAACTATACTTTAAAAATTCTCTTTCCTCCTGTTGTTAAGGTGGAACTGGATTACTAACTATTGTGGTGGTAGGTGAGGCCTTGATAGCTGCTGAAGGAGGCCCTGTGTGAAGCTGCTGAAGGAGGCCCTGTCTATGATTTGGGCTGTGGGCGGATGCCACCAAACATCGGGGCAGGTGTTAGCCTCTCTGTGACAGTACAAGGTTCAATATGATTGGTTGTGAAAAGTGAGAGCCAAACTATAAATGTGAGGCAAGGCGCTAACAATGATTTAGGTTTAGGCAGATGGGCAATTGACATCCGTATTAAGCATAAAAGTTGGCCTCGTTGGATCGTTATAATGCTTTAAGCTAGACTATTGGACAGCTCCTGTAACCTAAAGTCAGTTCCTCTGTCCCTAGTCGTGGGTATGGGATGTTATGTATGTAACAAATAAGTTAGGGAACCCACGTACCTCGTATTGTATAGGAAATGCACAAAACATGTGTAATGAGTGTGCTGTGCAACCCATGTATGTAAGCATATTTAATTAAGTATGTACCTTAAAGGACCACTCTAGGCACCCAGACCACTTCAGCTTAATGAAGTGGTCTGGGTGCCAGGTCCTTCTAGGGTTAACCCATTTTTTCATAATTATAGCAGTTTCAGAGAAACTGCTATAGTAAAGGTTAAGCCTTCCCCAATCCTCTAGTAGCTGTCTCATTGACAGCCACTAGAGGCTTTAAACGCACATAAAAAAAACGTGAGAGAGCGCCCAAAAAGCAAAATTTGTATAAATGCACCTATGCTGAATGCGCGCTCAGCTCTTGCCGCGCGTGCGCATTCAGCCGGCGGGGCGGATCGGAGGCGGAGAGCTCTCCACCCAGCGCTGGAAAAAGGTAAGTTATTACCCCTTTCCCCCTTCCAGAGCCGGGTGAGTATGTTTTCCTGGCACTATAGTGGTCCTTTAAGTGAAGGTCCTTGCACATAATAATTCGGATGAGGGAGAGGTGATTGCTGAGGACCTAAAATAATAGTACTCGTAAGGCATATGACAGACTAATGAAATTAATTAATGGTAAGGGTATGGTAATAATGTTTACCTAATGTATAGCAGGAATAGCCTTAAAGCTTTTCCAAATTAGTAACCACCCAATTGTGGGAACATAACTGTGATAAGTACCAAAATCATGCTTATAATGAATAATTAAATAATAAAGCTTAAATTACTGCATAATGGGTAAACCAGGGTGCGGATGCTAAAATAAGTATTAAATTAAATAGAACGGGGGCAGCGGCAATCATATCGGACCCTCGTGGCACTGAAAATAAGTTGAGTTCTCTAACTTTTTAAGTGGAGCCAAAGGGGCTGGGGACCTAAAATGTTTTTTTACAACTATAGTGTTAGGAATATATGTTTGTATTCTTGATACTATAATGTTCCTTTAAATGTAGAAATCCACACCTTGTTATCCTGCACCTGGGTGCTTTCCCTTTAAAAGTGCACTCTAAGCACCAAAACAGCTTTAGTTTAATTAGGTGGCTTTGGAGCATAGATCATGCCTTTGCAGTCTAACTGCTCAATTTATGAGTTAAATCACTTTGTTTATGCAGTCCTATCTTCAAGATTTACAAATTTGGAGGAGACATTCACGAAGCAATATGATTACCCTATAGTTTTTATACTTGTAAATAAAAGCAATCTATTGCTCAATGTAATCTCTAAATTCACACCAATGGGTGTGGGCACCATATCGAGAAGCAAATTATTTGATCAGGGAACATAGAGATCCAGAATTAATTTGTGCATTAAATCCTTGTGACTGAAATAATTGTATCTTATGCAAGTATATATTATTTCCAACCCAATTATGGAATGTTACAGCATTTTCTATATACAAACAGAAGGATTGAATGAATGGATGGATGGAAGTGTGGATGGATGGATGAGTGGATGGATCAATGCGTGGATGGATGGATCAGCGGATTGATTCATTGATGGATGGATGGATGGATGGATAGATGGATTGATGTAAGGATGAGTGGGTGGGTGGATACCTAGATGAGTGCATGGATGGATGAATGGATGCATGCATGGATGGATGACAGGGAGGAATGAGTAGATGAATGGATGGATGGATGGATTGATGGATGGATGGATGGAGAAAGAGAGGGAGGGAGGGATGTGTGGGTGGATGGATGGATGGATGGATGGATGAATGGATAGAGCGAGGGAGGGAGAATGAGTGAGTGAGTGAGTGGGTGGGTTGGTGGATTGATAAGTGGGTGGATGGATGGAGGAATGAGACGGTGGGTGGATGTATGATAGATGGATGGATGGATGGATGGATGGATGGGTTGATGGGTAGATCTGGGTGGGTGGATAGATAAATGGATGGGTTTTGGATGAATGGATTTGGATGGGTGGTTGTATGGATGGAGGGTTGAGTAGGTGAGTGTGTAGCTAGATTAATATATGGGTGGGTGGTTGGAAAATGGTTGGATGCAGGGTTGAGTAGGTGAGTGGGTGAGTGGGTGACTAGAAGGATGTATGATGGATTAATTTGGGTGGATGGCTGGATGGATGGGTAGAAGGATGGATGGATGAATGGTGAGTGGATAGAGGGTTGGATTTGGATGAGTGGGTGGCTTGGTGTGTGTATATATGGAGAGTTGGTGGATGAATGGATGGATTGGTGGGTGGATGGGTTGATTGATTGGTAGATGGTTAGGTAGGTAACAGCAATGTGATCCCAGGCATGCACTGTCATATGAGATTGTGGATGGGACCTATACCTATAAATACATAATGCTTAGCATGTAATACATGTGAATGTGTATGGGGTTCAGAAAGGATCTCCCAGTCTAATGAATATCATTGTTTTATTCAATGCTATAATATCCCATTTAAGTACCATGGACCATTAGTGATGTCTAGAAGCAGTGAGAAACATCATACATGCATTCATGTGATCAGTACAACTTGGTCTGTCTGAGATATAGGCCAACTTCTCATTAAAGCTTGCTCACCCTGGGATTATTTAACTATGGCCTCATCTTCATTTTATTATAGAACAAAAAATTAAGGTACATTTTTATGTGTTTACGGCTTTTCTGCACATCTTGAAAACTTTCCAGAGATTAATGAGAGTTGTAATTGCCCGTGCCTGCTATAGGGATTACATTTACGTCACAGCAAATGTGTCTTCTGTCATTAGACCCTATGTGTCATACCAGGGGGAATAACAATTTACACTTTCTAACTAAGTGTGTAGTAATTAAAGATGGAACAAAGATTTAATTATGGAATATTTTGGGCAGGTTCCAATTTCAACACAGTGTTCCATTTCTGGATTGCTAAATACATACCTACAGCTGAAACTTACGAGAAACATTCATATGAAAGTCCCTCCTGCTCTTTGCCAGTATAAATAGTGACAACGAGTCTGACAAGAGAAAACAAGCAGATCCCAACCATTTGCCATCATGAGATTTCTTGGTCTAATCTGTACGTTTGCTGCATCAATAACCATAGGTAAGACTCTTATCTCTTTAAGGTCCATTAGAAAATACATGAGGAGGAAATTCTTTTAGGAATCAGCATAAGGATATAATTCTTAATAGCAGAACTATGGACTTGTGTGCCCTTCCTATTTCTTTAATTAGGTGAACTTGCCATTCTCATGTTGTATGATGCATAATGAGTTCACTTTCTGGTAGTTACAGATTAAATCTATTTTGTACACTGGTTGGATCAATCACCAGCAAATGTATAGATTAAAAGAGCTGCTCTTGTGGGTAGTATTTCCTCCAATTCTAGGATGACATCCTGGAACTGAGAGGAGGTGGCTCGCTGACCCCATATGATACCTGAGCCACCAACAAGTCTGCCCATTTTTACTGTATGTAGTCTTTAAAGCTATGCCAATGGCAGAGGAGAAACATTTGCAAACATCAAGAATGTGAAATTCCCTGGACCCTCCCCCCACCTGGCTCCCTGGCGTGCAATCAAGCCCCCCACCCCATGCAGAGGGAGAAGTAAAATAGAGAGGGCTCTAGTGCATACATTTTTTGGGGCCCCCTTATTGCAAGGGTGGCCAAAAGGTAGATCCAGTATGTTTATATGAATGTAGGGGTGTGTTTGTATGTAGAGATGGCATTTGAAAGCAAGCATGCATTTATGTGTAGTGTTGGTTTTATTTATATATAATTTTGGTGTTTAACAAAGAGATGTTTTTGTATGTACTGTTGAAGTTTGAGTGTATTTGTGTGTAGTGTTGGAATTTTAATGCTGAGATGCATGCACATATACACATGCACTTCCAAACATACAAACACACACTGTAATACACATACACACGCTGAAACTCGTGCAGATAAACAGATACACATACTGACACAGATGTAGCTATACAGACACATATACACACACTGACACATATGCACACACTGACAGACGCACATACACAACACTGACAACACAGATACACACACTGACACACATACAACTACACTAATACCACAGATACATACACTGACAACATACAGACACACAGATACATAACCTTACACACATGCAGATACAAACAATGACACAGACATACTGACACATACACAGACATATTGGCACAGACATACAGAAAAACACACACACACAGACATACTCACACACACACACACACACAGAGACACACACACAAACTTTACACTTTTAAAGCCAGATTCCTACCTTTGCAGGTACCTTTCCAGCGGTCCAGTGTGCTAGCAAGGATGCTTGGGAGTTGGGGTCTGGCTCTCCTTGCTGAGTCCCTCCTAGACACTGCCTCCTGGCTCTGCCTCCCGTCTCTGTGGGAGGAATTGACTCACGAGCGTCACTACCTCTGATGCTGCCATTAAGGGGCTCGGTCGTGCTGTTAAAGGGCCACAGTGTCGACCGTGCCCCTGCTCAAACATGCTCACCGGGTTGCCCCTTGTGTGTGGGCCCCGGTGCAGCCCCAATAACAGCACGTGTGCCCATGGGGGGAAAAAATCATTTTCTCTGGATGGGGCGGCGGGGCCACGGCGCAGCTTCATCCCCCAGGTGTAAATGGGCCCGTTTGGACCGCGTTAATGACGGCAATGGAGACACATGTTCTATTAATTTTCCCATGCATTCTGTATTTTAGGTAACTGTCTACTCTGCACAGAGTGCTATAATAACACAACTCCCAACTGTGAAGGCTCCATTGCTACATGTGCATCCTGTCTGACAATTATCACAGAAGAAGGCCATGGTATGTACAAAAATTATAGCGCGGTAATCCACAAGACCTTTTCATCATTTATTATCATACAACATTCAAATGGGCACGCTATGTATGAAACGTCCTATACAAAAGGTAGATTAGGATAAAAATGTCTTATGCTTATGTAGAATGTACAACGTGAGACTGATTGAAATTTCTATCAAGGGGGGATTTTTACCATTTGATTTACGCAATTTGACAAACTTTTTGCAGGTGAAAGTTGCTTTTATTGTAGTTCAGAGCTAGCTGAACAAAAACAAGATATCAAAGTAAATTCAGTATAATTCAGTACTACCGACGGTACAACCGATGTAACCACACCAGGGCCCAAGCGGGTCAAGGGGAAGATGCCCATTGCTCTCATGGCCTTCTTGAAAGCAAAAAATCTTACTTGGGCCTTGTCTACACAACCACTCACAAGAATACAACTTTAAATTATCAATAAAATTAATCTTATATTTAGTGTTTAAACATTAAAAAAAAAAAACACAAACATTTGGACAATATAATAGAAACCTTTAAGTTGAAAAAAGAAATGTAACTTGAAAATGGTACTCAGTCAGTAAATCATGCAGACAAAGATGGCACAATACAAAATTACCATGAATTATTTATTATTAAGCAAGTGTTCGACAGAAAGATTTATCTTTGCGGAGAATTGCTTTGTAATTGTCTTTTACAGATATCTGCTGATACTGAGATGATTAGTTCACCTAATTTTTTTGAATAAAAAAGGTTCTGAATAAATCTCCCTGAATGAATGGGGCCACTATGCTTGTGAGGCCCCGGGCAACTGCCCAGCATGCCCATGTGTAAAGATGGTTCTGATTGCTATCATAGACACCATGAATCCCTTACTGACCACACTGGCACAGCTGGAGGGTTCAACACAGGAAAAAAAAGAATCCAGGGAAACAGTAAAGCTCATCAGGGCTAGGGGAAGGAAATACATTTCTGGAAAAGGACCAATCAGGGTTGGGTTATAAAAAAAAAGAAATAAAATACATAAATATTGAATATCCCACAGAGCACCATTAAATCCATTACTAAAAAAACAAAACAAAACAAAAACATGATGAATATGACACAACTAAGATGAGATGGTCATCCATAAAAACTTAGCCAGAGAGGGGTCGAGGGTAACTTTAAGGTAGCTGGAGAGATCCACAGCTGACATGGTCAGCACAGTATTTATCTACTGGAGGATAAAGGAGAACTACAGGCAGGTGGAAGTGAAGGTATGTAAAACTAATTAATCTTAGATATCACAGAGCAAATAAGGGTGGACAGTAATGATAAATCATAAATTGATAAAATTGAACCTATAGCCCCGAAAAAACAATTGTTATTTATGGGACTATAGATTCCCATTAAAGTAATGAGCTGTTAATCCCTTTTTGACAACGTAATACCATATTCACGACTTCTGCCTTTCATTTAATACTCCCATTGCAAGTTTCTTTTGCCCTACTAAGGGGTCTCTTACACGCTACCTAATCTTGTAATGCTATGCCAAGAATTCCACAATGAATATATTTGTTGTCCTTGCAGGAAATGGCTCTGTATCTATGATAGAGAAATCCTGCAATCTGTACCCTGAAGTGTGTAACATCTCCTACAGTGTGACCGCTGACAACTTCCATCTGGGCTTCGTATCGTCTTGCTGTGACACAGACCTCTGTAATCATGATACTATCGTGGGTAAGCTCACCAACCATGCAATGGCTCCCTAGACTAAGGGTGTCAAACACTGGAGCCTTGCCCATTTTAATTTTCTCGGTTTTATAAAAACAAACAAATAATTTAGACATATCCCCAATGGAAACATGCATGCATTTTTATGAGTACTGAAAGTTTATGGGCAGTGATAAACACACAGATAAACAGAAAATCTTGCTCACAAAGTTCCTTGTTTTTGTCTCTGCTGCAACATTTTCCCTGGTAAAAGCTTCCAGCAAAAGTTCAGTAATCTTCTAATTTATGCATTTTAAGTTCACCAATTTTTTTAATTATCTCTGTTTTTAGAGCTATAACATACTGTGCAGTGCTGTATTGCAAGATTAAATATCTTTTTACATTTCCCAGCTCCTACCAAAAATACCACGGAGAATGGAGTGGTGTGCCCATCGTGTGTGCTGCAAAATGGAACAGAATGTGTTACCAATCAGACCATGAGATGCGTAGGAGACGAGACTAGATGCATTAGCTTCTCGGGAAAACTGTTTGATCAAGGTAATTCAAGGCTTAGGGGAAAGGCTAAACCACTAATGACAAATGCAGACAGAAGCAATTTGAAGGCTTGGTGGGAAAATTACTTCAGAATGTTTAGAAAATATTATTTTTTATTATTAATGGTCCAATTTCTCTTTTGTGCTTTGTTTTGTTTTTTTTTTTTGATTATTTATGAATTCAACATAATGCTTTTTTCAGTTCTAAAAGAGGATGGATCAAAAAGTCAGACAGTCCTTATATTTACAGTGCATCCATTTTGTTTATTGGGGCATTCATCTTTGGGACCAGGTTGTATTAACTGCATAAGCAGTCACTGTACGTTACAGTGTCAAAGAATCAGAAAGAAATTGGGAACCTGGGAAATTATAGAGAAATGTGATAGACCGGGCAGGGGATGGATCTCAAACATGAATAATGACCATATTGATCTGTAAAGAGAGAAGTTGATGGTAAAATATAGGTCTATTGAGAGCCTCTCCTGTATATATAAGGTCCGATGATTGAAGACATTCTAAAGAACTCATAATTTCTTTATCTCCAGGTTCCTGCAAGAACCTCACCCTTCAAGGATGTGTCACTGAGAATGTGTGCAAAGCTAAGCACCTTCCCTTGTATCCGAAAACACAACTTTGTGAATTTCAAAATCTTATGTGTTCTGAAGGAAGCAGCACCACTTCTAACAAGTGTTAAGAAAATAACACAGCATATGATTGCTCATGAATGCGTACCTCCCAAAAGTTCCAGAATCAGAAGGACCATCTCGATTTTGGGCTTTTATCTCACAGTCCTAGTTTGGTTCCCTGGTGTCCCACATCTGAAGACACCAAGGAACCGCCACCAATCCACGTAATGTAATGCATTATTGGACTTGTGCATGTTATGCCAATTAGACGCATGGCCCAAGATCATGCCCAGAGTGCTTAAAAAGCATTTTCCTGTGCCTGAAATCTGAAGGTTCACATGTCCATGTTTGTGGGTGGTTTGATCTTTTGGGCAGATTTTTCTAAATGGGTATCATCAGCGATGCATGACACATGACTGCCCAGTCTCATTTTGTCCTGATTTCCTACCACCTAGTGTTCATATGAGGTACATGAATGTTCATATTACAGTGTATTGAATCACCAATTCTCTAAATCGCTAAACTTGGGATCCATGAGGTGTATTGGTAACGTATCATGTCATTAATTTGAGTACATAAATGGACAAATGCATAAATAAATACATTTATTTATTTATCTTTCCTTTGTATCTATTTTTATTTTACAACCATTGATTTTTAGTTATTTTTATTACTATCATACTAGTCAGGTTGCACAGATTGCATAGCTTTTATTTCATGTGAATTTATGAGTCTTATATTTGGGTCTTTAAAAATCGTGAAGCTTCTACACAACGCATCTTATTACACTGCATACAGCATATCACAACCACAACAAAGTAATATAATATAGGACAGTGAAGTGTAATACACATTCATTTTCCAAACCAAAAAATATATAAATTATTCCTCTCAATGGACAATCTGCGTAATATGCAAACAAACCTTAAAATTGCACATCTACCAAAGGTTGAAAATTTAAACTGAAGGATTACCTGTGCACTCAGTCGAGTGCAGATTAGTTGAATACAATACTTATATATATTTTTGAAATCCAAACAAAATACAGATATCATCCATATATATACTAATCAGTCACAACATTAAAACCACTGACAGGGGAAGTAAATAACATTAACTATAACGTTACAATTAGAGTTGAGCGGACACCTGGATGTTAGGGTTCGCCAGGTTCGGCAAAAAGTTTGAGTTCGGGACTCGAACTTAACCCGAACTTGACCCCGAACCCAAACCCCATTAAAGTTAATTGGGACCCGAACTTTTATGGCACTAAAATGGCTCTAAAAAAGTCCTGGAAAGGACTAGAGGGCTGCAAAAGGAAGTAAAATGTATTGCCTAAGTACTAATATATAAGAAGAAGAATGTTACACTGGATACAATTTTAAATAAAAAGTATACAAACATAGCCAGGATTCATCTGTAAGCATTTGCAACACTTACAACAATCAAGTAACACACATTTATATAAAATGTAAGTTACTTGGCCAGTCAATGTAATGACAGGAATGAATAAGTAGATAACTCCCTAATTCCCACGGGACCCTAGATTATAATAAGGGGGGAACCTATTGTCCTCCACCCCGGCACCCACCCCTGAGCGGCAGATGGGGGCCCTAAATTACAATAAGGGGGGCCTAATGTCCTCTCCCTTGGCCCCCACCCCTGAGCGGTGAGTGGGGGCCCTAAATTACAATAAGGGGGGACCTATTGTCCTCCGCCCCAGCCCCCACCCCTGAGCGGCGGATAGGGCCCTAAATTACAATAAGGGGGGGACCTAATGTCCTGAGCGGTGGGGGCCCTAAATAAAATTTGGGGGGGATCTAATGTCCTCCTCCCTGGCCCCCACCCCTGAGTGGTGGTGCGCCCTAAATACCAATTTGGGGAGGGACCTAATGTCCTCCCCCCTGGCCCCACCCCTGAGCGGTGGGTGGGGGCCCTAAATAGCAATAAGGGGGGGACCTATTGCCCTCCCCCACTGCTGAGCGGCGGATGGGGGCGCTAAATAATAATTCATTTTTTATTCTTCCCACCAGCAGGGGGACAGTCTGACATTTCAGACAGTCCCCCTGCTGGCAGATCCACAGCCAGCTATGGGGGGCCATGTGATCGCTCTTTAGCCTGATTTGCCGGGGGAGGGATGCCTGGGCTGTCAGGCAGTCCTCCTGAAGAGGATCGTGGTGGAGGTAAGTACCTCCGAGCTCCTGGGGCTGCAAGCCATTACGGCGTTCTATGCCGCCGCAATGGCTTTAAAGCCCATTTAATGCGGGACAGCATAGAATGCCGTAACGGCGTTAAGGGGTTAATAGTTGATAACAAGAGACTGTTATTTACATAAATTATTTAGGTAAATGAGAAAAATATCATTTGCATAATAATTTGGAACAGGGTGTAGTCTAAGGCATATGAAAGGATTTTTTACCATAAAAACAATAAGGATGTGGAATTCTCTGCCTGAAGAAGTGGTTTAATAATTGTATGTACAGATGTTTAAACATCAACTAGATGCATACTTGCAAAAACATAATAGCCAATTATATAATTTTAGGGTAATAGCTCCTTGATCCAAGGCTAAATCTGACTGCCATTGTGGGGTCATGAATTTTTTTCCTAGTTTGTTGTAAAATTGGAAGTGCTTCAAATTGTTTTTGTTTTTTGCCTTCTTTTGGATCAACAGCAAAAAAACAGATGTAAGGAAGGCGGAACTTGATGGACACATGTCTCTTTTCAGCATAAGTAACTATGTAACTATGTGTTTGTTTTAGTGAGTAAAATCATTCCCCTCAGGCTTTTTGCAGTAAACACTGTCTTTTCAGAGAAAAGGCGGTGTTTACATTACAGCCTAGGAATACCTCCACTGGCCACTCCTCAGATGGCTGCTATAGGTGTTCCCTGGGGAGGTGCTGCACAGTGTGACTGACATTCAGTGTCTACACACTCTACACAGAGACACTGAACTTTCCTCAAAGAAATGCATTGATTCAATACATCTCTATGAGGAGATGCTGATTGTCCAGGGCTGTGTTTGGCGTGCGCTGGTTCTACCCCTGATCTGCCTCATTGACAGTCTCAGTCAATCCATTGCTTTCCTATGGGAAAACATTGTGATTGGTTCAGATCAACCCTTCTGATGATATCAGCCAAAGAGGCAGATCAGGGGCAGAACCAGCAACAGCAGACAAATAAAGGTAAGATTTTACTATATTTAGGGGGGCAGTGGAGGCCAGGGGGGTGGGTAGATGGTGTTTTTAACACTATAGGGTTTGTGTTCCTGGCCCAATAGTGTTCCTTTAATGTTGGCCATAATGTAAAAGTGCCAGTGTATCGAAGTTTGCTTTGTATGGAGCTGCAAAGCTGCAGACTGGTCAAAGTGCTAATGAAGACTCCTGTCCACTGCCGACAGTGCCTTCAATCAGTATATAAGTGTCAGAACTGAACCATGGAGCAATGGAAGAAGGTTGCCTGGTCTGATAGATTTTGTTTTATTTTATAGCAAGTAGATTGCCGGTGCATCTTTACCTGGAGAATAGATGGCAGCAAGATGCACAATGGGAAAAAGGAAGGCAGACTTAATCAATGCATCACTAGAGGGAGCATTCAGCATCTTCATGCAGATCATGGAGACACAAAGCATAGGAAGTACCTCTAGTGGCTATCTGAGTAACTGCCACTCGAGGTATTACTAGTCAGCAATGTAAAAACACTGCCTTTTCTCTGAAAAGTAGTGTTTATAGTTCTAAGACTACAGGGACAAGCTATAGACACCAGAACAAGCTGTAGTGGCTCTGGTGACTATACAGTTGCAAGACAAAGTATGTGAACCGTTTGGAATGATATGATTTTCTGCACAAATTGGTCATAAAATGTGATGTGATCATCATCTAAGTCACAACAATAGACAATCACAGTCTGCTTAAACTAATAACACACAAAGAATGAAATGTTGCCATGTTTTTATTGAACACACCATGTAAACATTCACAGTGCAGGTGGAAAAAGTATGTGAACCCTTAGATTTAATAACTGGTTGAACCTCCTTTGGCAGCAATAACTTCAACCAAACGTTTCCTGTAGTTGCAGATCAGACGTGCACAACGGTCAGGAGTAATTCTTGACCATTCCTCTTTACAGAACTGTTTCAGTTCAGCAATATTCTTGGGATGTCACTTCAGAAGGCGTATTTTCTTCTGTTTAAGCCATTCTGTTGTTGATTTACTTCAATGCTTTGGGTCATTGTCCTGTTGCAACACCCATCTTCTGTTGAGCTTCAGCTGGTAGACAGATAGCCTTAAGTTCTCCTGCAAATTGTCTTGATAAACTTGGGAATTCATGTTTCCTTCGATGATAGCAATCCGTCCAGGCCCTGACGCAGCAAAGCAGCCCCAAACCATGATGCCCCCACCACCATACTTCACAGTTGGGATGAGGTTTTGATGTTGGTGTGTTGTGCCTTTTTTTCGCCACACAAAGTGTTGTGTTTCTTCCAAACAACTCAACTTTGGTTTCATCTGTCCACAGAATATTTTGCCAGTACTGCTGTGGAACATCCAGGTGCTCTTGTGCAAACTGTAAACGTGCAGCAATGTTTTGTTTGGACAGCAGTGGCTTCCTCTGTGGTATCCTCCCATGAAATCCATTCTTGTTTAGTGTTTTACGTATTGTAGATTCGCTAACAGGATGTTAGCATTTGCCAGTGACTTTTGTAAGTCTTTAGCTCACACTCTAGGATTCTTCTTCACCTCATTGAGCAGTCTGCGCTGTGCTCTTGCAGTCATCTTTACAGGACGGCCACTCCTAGGGAGAGTAGCAGCAGTGCTGAACTTTCTCCATTTACAGACAATTTGTCTTACCATGGACTGATGAACAGCAAGGTTTTTGGAGATACTTTTATAACCTTTTCCAGCTTTCTCCAAGTCAACAATTCTTAATCGTAGGTCTTCTGAGAGCTCTTTTGTGCGAGGCATCATTCACATAAGGCAATGCTTCTTGTGAAAAGCAAACCCAGAACTGGTGTGTGTGTTTTATAGGGCAGGGCAGCTGTAACCAACACCTCCAATCTCATCTCATTGATTGGACTCCAGTTGGCTGACATCTCACTCCAATTAGCTCTTGGAGATGTCATTAGTCTAGGGGTTCACATACTTTTTCCACCTGCACTGTGAATGTTTACATGGTGTGTTCAATAAAAACATGGCAACATTTCATTCTTTGTGTGTTATTAGTTTAAGCAGACTGTGATTGTCTATTGTTGTGACTTAGATGATGATCAGATCACATTTTATGACCAATTTGTGGAGAAATCCATATCATTCCAAAGGGTTCACATACTTTTTCTTGCAACTGTAGTAATCCTATAGAAAAGTAAGAAAAAAAACATGACACGGCTTTAACTGCTATGCAGTTGGGTGAGTGCACGTCACCTGCATAGATGGAGTTTAGGGTTTGGCCAGAATGAATTGTCTCCTCACAGTGGGAAGGACAGGCAGATACTTATCCATCATAAAAAAACATCAAAGATGCATACAATTGGCCCCACATTTATTGTGCTGCATGATAATGACCTCAAACATGCAGCCAAAGTCATT